GTGTGTGTGTGTGTGTGGCAGGGGAGGGCAGTGCAAAAAATAAATGATGACAGTGTACCAGTGAATTACATGCTATGTTAGAAAATGATAAGCATATGTAAAATGGACAGCAGGGAAGGAGCGTTGAGAATATGCATGTGTGGGGTGCGATCTTAAGACGTGTGGTAATGCTAAGTCGCTTTGCCAAGGTGGCATTCCAACGGAGATATGAAGGGGGTGAGAGACGGAACCACAGGCTGCCAAGGAAAAGATTTTCCAGGCAAGAGTGGGGGGTCACTACAAAGACCTAAGACAAAATACTCCTGGAAGTGGAATTTACTTCCAGGATATATTTTATGTCCATTTTCTCTACAACATTAGCTTCTCAGTAAGTAAAAGTATTCATGTTCGTTAATAATTTTTAAACTACCATCTCAAGTATCCGTAATTCAAATACCTAGAAGTTTCACATGCCCACAACATACACGAGAATTATCTGCACGGTGGGAAATGGCCTCTGAGAAGCAAAAAAATGTACTTGGAGAAGAGGCATCAGGCCCTCCTGTTTGGGTTTTATGTAAAATGTGACAAAGCTGGGTTACCTGGTATCCAAGCTTTTCATGGACAGAAAGGAAGATTTGAAAGGAACTCTGGCAGGGAGGAAGTTAGAGCTCTGCTAATCAGATCCACTGATAGCAGTGAAAATGAAAAAAACTGAATGTTCTCAAAAGCCTAATAAGTAATCAACAAAATACATCGAAGGTCAAAGGAGCTGCCACCCTGAATGGATTCCCAGTGAGTGGGACAGGGAGCCCCTCTTTCCAAGGGGCCCTGAGAACACCGCCGAGGGTCATATGGCAGCCACTTAGTCAAAATGGCAACTATAACTGTCCCCACCAAAGTTTAATAACAGCGTGATCAATTTAAAAGGCTGAGAGGGAGCTGGATGCAGAGGCTCATATCTGTAATTCCAGCACTTTGGGAGGCCAAGCTAGGAGGACTGCTTGAACTCAGGAATTTGAGAGACCAGCCTGGGCGACATGGTAAGATCCCATCTCTTAAAAAAAGAAAAAGGGCAGATGCAATGGCTCACGCCTGTAATTCCCACACTTTGGGAGGTCGAGGTGGGCGGATCACAAGGTCAAGAGATCGAGACCATTCTGGCCAACAAGGTGAAACCCCATCTCTTCCAAAAATACAACAATTAGCTAGGCATGGTGGCATGCGCCTGTAATCCCAGCTACTCGGGAGACTGAGGCAGGAGAATCACTTGAAATCCAGAGGTTACAGTGAGCCGAGATTGTGCCACTGCACCCCCTCCTGGTGACAGAGCAAGACTCCATCTCAAAAAAAAAGAAGAAAAATTAACTGGGTGGAGTGGTGCATGCCTGTATTCTCAGCTACTTGAAGGGCTGAGGCAGGAGGATCACTTGAACCCAGGAGATTTAGGCTGCAGTGAGCTATGATTGCACCATTGCACTTCAGCCTGAGCAATAGAGCAAGACCCTCTCTAAAAATAAAAAAATAAAAAATAAAAAAACAGAAGGTTGAGAGGAAAAGATTTTAGATTTTAATTCAAACATCACAAATTTGTTTAAGTTTTTTTGGATTAAAGAAGTAAATTTTTAAAAATCCACTAAACTTGAGTATCTGGGAAACCTCATTCATAAAGAATACCAAATAGGCAAGATTTTTTGGCATCGATTAAGGTGATGATCAGATTACTTTAATAAAGTTGAAAATCTTCTACATAAGGCTATAAATGGTCTGATTATTTATTTATGATTGCTACTAAAATTGCTCATCATTGTACTATTTTATTACATTTGAGTGTGGTTTTTTTGTTATGAGAAAGCAAGATGTGTGAAAATTTGAAATCAGATACATTAGATTATAAATTAATTTACAGAAAGATTATAAAATTCTGTTTTTAGATTATAAAAATATTTTAAATAAAAAAGCACTTGTTAGCTTTACAAAAAGGGTTACCACAAAGTACATTTCTCCTTCCCCAGGTTGATTATTTAATTTAGAAAATTTTGATCTACCCACAACTTTCCAAGCAAAAATCTATTACATAAAGGAAATTGCACCAACATTATATGTTACCATGACAACGCCAGCAATTACTCAATGCATGAAATGAGCCTCCAATTTCAGAAGATGCCCTGAGTTTAAGAATTGGGTTTTAAAATTTCATTTTAGGCACATTAAGATATGTGTGTCGGAGAGGGGTTACATTTTAACCTACACACAAAATGTGGTATTTGCAGTGCTTATGTGCATTTAAAAAAGTAGGCTAGCAAGGATCAAATATTCAAATGCTACCAAATGCACCTGGAGAAAGTTAGCTGGGTTTTTGCCTCCTATACTACTTACGTATGACAGAAAAATAATTAGAAAACCTTGATTCCCACTATCCTAGCAGCAAAGCCATGATGCTTCCTAGGGGAGATGACGGAAGGAGCCGATACTAAAAGTGACACGAAATACTCACCAAGGCTGAGTTTAAGCTAACAATTCTAAAAAGACGATCTGAGTAGAAAATTATTTTATTAAAAATAGCCAATCACATTTGTTGTCTCATTTCTGTCGTATTTGGCATTAGGTATTGAACTCAAGGAGGTTTCTAGAAGGAGTCCTTCTGTAAGTGGCTTATTCATGTTCATTCCTTTTGATTGACTCTAGAATCTTTTGCAACTTCAGTCTTCGGCATTTGGCATAAACCTGTCAAATCTGATTCCATATCCTCCTCAAAAGCATTCATCTTCAATATTTTTTTAACTCAGAAAATCCCAGGTAAAAACGATATAAACCTCAGAGAACATTCAGAAAGCCATTCTCATTCATGTCCCGTTTCCCTTACAAAATTTAAAATTAAAAAAATAAACAGAATAGACTGCAATTAAAAATTTACAAGAATAAAATTAAATTACGAAAATAAAGCTAACTGTAGTAGAGAAGTCAGGCGTCATTTAGTCCTGCCTAACCTTTCTGTGGTAACCAAAGGAACTATAATCAGTCAGATGACAAAAATTGTGTCAAACAGATAATTAAACTGAGAGAGAAGGCGGTTCTCTCTCTGAAGGCAGCCCCTTTTAGAACTACTTACCATCCTAATTTTCTATGATTTTGTATAAAATAAAACAAAAAATACAAGCCGGGCAAACTCACGTCAAGTCAAGATAGCTGTACACTCTGGAGGCCTGTTAAAGTATTCTAGATAATATGCAAATTTAAATGGACTGGAGAGAGAAGTGGTTTAGTGTCTCTGATAAGATTTTTTTTTTGCATTGTGCAACCGTACTGGAAAAATCACTGAATATGCTATTTTCAAATTGCTACTTACAAGGACTCAATATTCCAGAAATTTGGTGCTTTCATAGAGATAACAATGACCCTTAATTTAGGAAATTACTATGTCAAAGATGGTAGCTACTGAAGGAACACAGTTTTGTTTTGACGCTTATGCATTTGTGTTATGTTTTTATCAGGCAGTTAGATTTGTAGTCATTCCGTTAGGGTCTTATAAAATATTTGGATGGGCCGGGCCTGGTGGCTCATGCCTATAATCCCAGCACTCTGGAAGGCTGAGGTGGGCGGATCATGACCATCCTTGGCCAACATATTGAAACCCCATCTCTACTAAAAATACAAAAATTAGCTGGGCGTGGGCGTGCCTGTAGTTCCTGGTACTCGGGAGGCTGAGACAGGAGAATTGCTTGAAGCGGAGGCGAAGGTTGTGGTGAGCTGAGATTGCGCCACTGCACTCCAGCCTGGGCTACAGAGTGAGACTCCATCCCCCGCAAAAAAAGATATGTGTGTGTGTGTGTGTGTGTGTGTGTGTGTGTGTGTGTGTGTATGGGAGAAGAGAAAGGGAAAGAAAGGCTAACAACTATTATATATGTGATGCAGGCAGAGATTTATTTCAAGTTAGAAAAGGATCATTTTAGCCACAATATCACAAAGCAATAATAAATGAAAGCTAACTAATATACCAAATGAGATGTAGGGAGGGCAAGTAATCATTTCCTTTATGAAGTTGCCTTCAAGAAGTGCTTACTATTTTGTAAGGCAGTCTTATCTCCTGTAGAGGAAAGACTTTGAAGTCTGACAGACCTCCATTGATTTCCAGCTCAGCGATTTTGATAAAAATGTGTACCCAGGAAAATTATGTAACCTTGAAAAACCTCAATTTCCTTAAATGCTGGGAGATTATTTTGGTAATTTTAAAATGAATATTAGATACCAGAGTGTTTGGGATGCAGAAGTCATTCCTATTCCTTAACTTGTCTTCACAGTATTTGCCCGTAATATGTTTTTTGTTTATTTGTTTGTTTTTTGAGGTGGAGCCTCACTCTGTCACCCAGGCTGGAGTGCAATGGCACGATCTCGGCTCACTGCAACCTCTGTTTCCCAGGTTCAAGCAATTCTTCTGCCTCAGCCTCCCCAGTAGATGGGATTACACGCACATGCCACCATGCCCAGCTAATTTTTTGTATTTTAAATACAGACGAAGTTTCATCGTGTTGGCCAGGCTGGTCTCGAACTCCTGACCTCAAATGATATGCCCACCTTAGCCTCCCAAAGTGCTGCAATTACAGGCGTGAGCCACTGACCTTTTAACTGTTTCTCTGTTATCTAATGTTCATATCCTTTTAAAATGGTTCTTTAAGCATTCTTCCAGATTTACCAAATGCTCATACTATGTAGTCTTTAACATTTCCAGCATTATTTAGTCTTATTTGTAGAAGCTTCTACAAGAGTCCTCCTGGTCCCTGAAATCAAATGGCCTGCACATTTTCCCAACAAAGTCAGACACAGTTAAGATTTTGTAATATTTTTGGAAAACAGGCCCATCTGATGATTCTGTTTTCGTAACGAATTCTGAAGAATAACCCAAAGATAGACCATCTGGAGAAATTCGTAGACTACCTTGAGAGTCAAAATATTACCATTAGAACGTCTTGGACTGTGAAGTGCCCCACCGGTCGGTGTTGGGGGAGGGTCTCTGAACTTACCTTGCATTAGCGGGGTTGCACGTGGTTAGGTTTGCCAGCGCGAGAGCTGCTGCTTCCCGTACCTCTTCGCTGTCGCTTTTTAGCAACTGAATTAACTGTGGAATACCTACAGAAAGAGAAAGGTAAAAATGTGACTTTTAAAATGCCCATGTGCACGAAAACATGGTAACCTAAAAATGCTCAAAAGAGTTGTTTTCAGTTGGCTTACCCTGATTATTGAAAAAATCTTTGCTGCCTGAATTCTCACACATTGCTGAAATAGCTTGGGAAGCGGCAATTTTAGTTCCATCATTTTCAGAACCCAAAAGGGCCACAAGGCACTTTTCAACCTCTTGTTCATGGAGAAGTTTTCTATTTTCAGCTTTCATACACAAAAAGGAAAAAAAAATCAGAATATTAATGCAAACACTGTGAACTATTATTACTTTCTCATCTAAAGTCTAATAGGAATTCAGACCATTTGCTAGCTTTAGTATGAGTCAAAACTGGACCGAATCTATAACTATTTAACTTTAGATTACAGCAATTATGCAAAATGAATCACGGATGTTGCATTTTTGTTTCCCCTATTCTCTTGTATGAGATCAGTATTATGGCCAAGGCAATTCTATAATAGGAACAAGGCAAGTTTTCGGATTTAGCAAGCACTGATTTCACACCAGTCATGTACCTGACCTGTGCTCACACAGGCTATCTGCTCACTAATGACAAAATCCAGCTTATCTGATGGTTCTTTTAAATGTAAAACCCAATATTGGAAGAATGCCTAAGATGAGCAAACTGATTAGCTGGATGCTTACGACGTTCAGGAGACGAGCTGAGGACAGGAGGAAGTGAAAATGAGTTGTAAAGTATGATCCCGAGTCTTAAGAAATGTGTAGTCTTATATCAAACTATAATCATAATTTTTTCTCAAATGACGGTACATATATAAGTAGCAAAATTTTAAATAATTATTTAATTGAAGTTATGACTCTAAGTACATACCATTATATTCATCCCATTTAAAACACTACTTTTGAAACCAAAGTATTTTTAATGTTCTTTAAAGTATCTTTAATGTTCCCTAAATGTTGTTTTCTCTTGGCTTCATTTGATTTTTTATAAATGATAGTCTCATTACTAATGTAAATGTTGCATTAAACTAAATGAGAACATTAAAATAATTTTTTGTTTTGTGTTATATTAATTCTAATTTTTTTATGTTCTAGCTAATTCTAAAGGAGTTGCTATTTATTAAAGTATGTTCTAGAAAAAATATATTAAGTCAAACTGTTTTGATGATATAAAGAGGTACCAGAGATTAATATAAAAAGAAGCAACTTACAAATAATTCCTTGTTAAATAATTTCGTTCCTTCCAAAAATTGTCATAGATTTGATTATTAATACCCTTTATAAAGTTTATAAAATTAACCTTTATAAATTCTATTTTTGTGATTAAAATGGAAGAATGTGTCATATGAACTCTTAGGATATAATAAATAAGAGAAGAATATTCTATTAGAGTAAGAATCTTTGCAAAAAAAGTTGACAATAATTTAGATTACAGTATTTACCTGTGGAACTAGTTCATCACCTACACATAATTTAATTAACTTGTTTTTTTTTAAAATATTTTCAGAAATTAACACCAGCTAGGTTTCCATTGTAAAGTTATGATTTCTCCCTTCCTTCAACGATGACTCAAAAAAAAATCAATCTTTTTCGCAGAAGCAGTGTTACATTTAGATGGCACCATATTTGCAAATACTTTTGGCCTCTGTTCACCTGATACACAGATATATGTCAAGCAATCTGGCCCTAACTGGCACAGGCTAAGTTATTAACGCTTTTGCTCATTCATTTTAAACCAGTCATGAACCATGTCCTGTAATCCTATCATTTTAATCTCTTGCTCCTTTCACTTACTGTTAGAATTCAGGCAGGCCATAACCTTGTTTCATGAAAAAGCTTCAGTTAATACTTTAATCTCAAGGATGTGGCTCCAAAAATGTTTTAAAATATACATAGTTCCTGTTATTTTTCACTGAATAAGTAATATCCAAAACTTTTCTGGAGTCTCTGACCTAAAATGCTTAGATTTATCATTCAGATTTTCCTGATGGCTCTAAATGCAATTTTCTAAACAGAACCCTCTTGGCATGGATTCTATCGGGAAAACTGGCCCAAATGATTAATTTGAAAAGACGAAATTTGGAGTACGTAGTTGTTGCTTTCAGAAAACAGTATATTTACAATTACTGAAAAGATTTATAAAAATAATTTAAATAGATACTGAGAACGATTAGTTTCTCAACCTTGCTGCAAGTGTTGTCAAAATGCAGCTGTGTTCGCTAAACCTCAAAAGTGCTGACTGCAGGGTGGCTATAATAGATTTAAAAGATGAAGTAACATGTTAACCAAATACTTTCATTGAATTGTTACACCAAGAAGTATTTGTGTTTTAATTACGCAGATCATAAAATGGTAAGATAGTTATGCTACTGATAGCATAATGTCCTTTAAAAATAACGTTTGTTCAGTATCCTTAAAATAAAAACGCATGACATTTTGTTACTGGAAATAAATCTGTGTGTAATGATGCTTTCATTCATCCATTCTCAGAAGTTGCTGTTGTGCCACTTTTACTCCTGCTGAGATGTTAATGCCAGTTCATAAACCTCACGGTGACATGGTAATTAACACCTTCCTCCTACTGGTACCAGGTCAAAGGCATATTTGATTTGGGCTTTCCACAGTTGAGATGCATGTTAAAACTTTACTCAACAAATAAAACTCAGAGAAAGTGTGTTTATGCGTTTGGATATTTCAACTGTATTTCTGACATAAAATGACAATGCATGACGGTGTCTAAAAAATATTATTTTGATGATTGTAAGTAAAAATAAGTGTTATAAATTGCTATTGATAGTTACATCATTCTTAATAACAGTATAAGGAACAATATTTGAGCAAGTCTACTTATAAATGGAGTTTTCTAACAGCAGGACATTTTTTACACTTCTTCATGATTATATGCTTTCAATACAGGAATGCTAGGAGATAGCTTTCTTAATCATTGTTAAGTTTCTAGGGTTCGCCACTGTAATTTAAAATAAGACACATCTGGTTAAGCTGGCTGCGTCGGGCAGATAGAGGTCAAGGCAGGCAATAGTTGATATACAAAGCAGTAGACACATAATAAGGTCTGGCTGTGTCCACAAACAAATCTCATCGTGAATTGCAGTTCTCATAATCCCCACATGTCGTGAGAGAAACCAGGTGGAGATAATTGAATCATGGGGGCAGTTTCCCCCATCCTGTTCTCCTGATAGTGAGTGAGTTCTCACGAGATCTGATGGCTTTGTAAGGGGCTTCCCCCTTTCCTGGGCTTTCATTTTCTCGCCTGCTGCTCTGTGTGAAGGTGCTCCCTGCCACGATTGTTAAGTTTCCTGAGGCCTCCCCAACCATACAGAGCTGTAAGTAAATTAAACTTTTTTCCTTTATCAATTCCCCAGTCTTAGATATTTCTTCATAGCATGATGAGAACAGACTAATTTAATAAAAAATACACATAGGATCTGGAAAAAAGGCAGAACCTAGAATGCAGGCAGGAGGAAGAAGTGGATATGGTAGCTCTAGCCAGGTAATAAGAGTTAAGAGGTAAATAACTCAACAAAAATAGAGGATAATTATCAGGCAAATGACAAAGGTGTCAACCTCTCTTCTAGCACTGGCCCCAAGGATGTTGGTTCTGCCTTAATATTGTGTTCTGGTCGGAAGTGGGCAGTACTGCCCAAAAATGTCTATAGCTAAGGCAGATCAGAGTCCTTAGGGGAAATTCTGTGTCTGGAATGGAGAGATTTTCTCAAAGCCCTGAACTTCCAATCGGAAGAGCGTTCACTCATAATAATTTATTGGGATATGTGAACAGAGAGAAAGTTTGAATCTTTGTGGAATCATCTACCTTTCTAGAGGTTCCAAGAATCAAGTTTTCAGACCAGATACCTCCTAGGCTGTAAGAAAATTAAACCACCTCTGCATTCATTGAATTTGACAAAACACCTGGCATGCTTTTTCAGTTTTTGTAAAGTTGCCACAGATGAAAACAGTTTAAAAAGAAAGGAGGCTATGTCAGAAGGGATGGGGGAAGATTACCAGTTGAATAAGTTGAATTATAAAATGTAATGTTTTCACAGTAATTGAGGAAACCTGCAAGATCATGGTGAAAGAGCCCTACTGTAATACAGACGGGCTGTTGATTGAATGATGTTAAGGTAGATATAAGTCTCCGCCATCCGGAAAATGGAGGTTCTGCTCATTAATGGAAGTTAACTTTTGTGCAGTGCTTGCTTGGTACTCCAATGAGGATTGGGTTACTTTGGTTCATGCATAGGTTGTTGCTTTAATCTACCATAGTGGGGACAGGTGAAGATCTGGTGTGAGAAAACTGGTAGCCTATGTAGAGCAGAGTGGGCTGTACCAGGTTAAAGCACAAGGAAGCAGGTTCTTTAATTTCTTGAGGACAGAAAGAGAAACCAGTTATTTTACTGACACCTTAAAAATTAACAGAATTAGAAAATTTGATTTTTCCTCTAAATCAAGCTGTTGGAAGAACATAGATACCAATAGGTCAAAATGGTATTTCCCAAACCAGAATCCAGACAAAAGGCCCAATCCAGAGCAAATGAGTACAAAGTGATGGTCTAACAAAGTTATACAATCCAGAGCACAAGGGGGAGTATACGAGGAAGAACAAGTTGATAACCAATGGCCGTGCACTTGAGTGAAATAGAAGAATCTCTAATGCCAAGTGGGGCTGTCTGGACTTGATCCTGCTTATTTTAGCTCAAGAGTTATTAACCGGGGGTCCATGAATTCAGAAGACATAGGTGGGCTTCAGGCAGTCTACGAACTCTCTCTGCAATTATATGCAGAATGTAGTGTATTTGTACATTTTCAGAAGGTTACTCTTTGTTCAGATTCTCAAAAAAAAAAAACTTAACACTCTCCAAAGTAAAGTGTGGGCAGTGTAGTTGGATGTGCTTGGAAGCCATCAGGAAGACAGGCAGGAATTTAGAAGACAGGTCAGAATTAGAAACAGATTTGGGATTCATAAGCAAATAAGGAGGCAGCTGAAACATTAGTCATAAGTGAGAGTGCTCAGGAAGATTTTCAAGAGAACAAGACAGAAAGCAGGAAGGCAAGATTAGTATTGAAATAAGCAGAGGAAAGCGGTAAAGGTGAAGGCTGGTCTGGTGATCAGGAGAACAATCAGGAGAGAGGGGTGTTTTGGAAACCAAGGAATAAAAGTTTAGAGGAGGAGGGGGAAATCAACAGTGTGGACTCCCACCCAGAGGTCAAGTTAAAAAGGACTGAAAATGCCTCTGCAGGATTTAGGAGCTGAGGGGTCAAATTCTACAAAGACTGTTTTGGCAGAATGGTGGCAACGGAAGTCAGGTGCAGCAGGTGACATGATGGAGATGAGATGAAGACATGGGGCTGTTTTGAACGGACTGATCTGTCAAAGAGGATGATTGAGGGGAAAAAGGAGCAAAAGAGGACCCTGGAGCAAGGGCAAGAGAGGAAGAAAGAGATTTCCACAAGTAACCCAGGCCACAGACAGTGAAGGGCCTCCAGAAATCTCTGAACTTAGATCACCTTCCTCTTACATAAACCACTGAGATCGGGAGAAGGTAGAACTCTGGCATTGCAATGCCGCATTACAGGAAAGTCTCCTTGTCAGCCAAAATTGGGCTACAGGAGTACCTTGTCCTCTCAATTGATGGGAAAACAGGCAAAGGGCACCCTGTAGGCTTCCTCTATTTATTAAAACAGGCCCAGGCAGAGGCCTCTGCATTCCATGATGAGCATTAAAAACCGAAATTATGAAACACTGCATAGAAGGAGAACAGAGATTGTCTAAAAATAAGTATTCATGGGGAAAAATTAAATGAAACAAAAACAAGAATCCACAGTAGATTAGAAAACACTAGCTTCCTGAATTAAGGGAAAAAACCATGACTCTAGAGATCAAAAGCTGCCTGTGTAGTAAAGACAGTGGAGAAGGGGACTTAGATACATTTTGGCAAAATTTTCAAACTCAGAATAAAAAATTCTACCTTAATATAGGAAAAAAGTCACATATGCAAGATAATGGAAATCAGGCTTGAACTCTACAAAAGCAAGCTTCATAGATATTTAAGGAGAAATATTATACAACAATTCCAAACCCAGTTAAATGGTCATATATGTTTGAAGGCCAAAAACCTATTCACAGGTAAGGTCTCAAAGCACATCACTATTGGATATGCCTTAAAAAATTTTTTAGCTGAAAAAATATATTCTGGTTAATTTTAGAAATGAATCAAAAATAAAATAAGGACAGGTAAACTTAACTAGGAGAAGTTGACAGCACACACTGAAACAGACTCAATATGCGTATAACTCTAAATGATATATGTAGTTAAAATTGAATGTCATGACAAAGTGATTGTTTAAAGAGAGGCTTTGGGCCAGGAGTGGTGGCTCACGTCTGTAATCTCAGCACTTTGAGAGGGCAAGGTGGGCGGACTGCCTGAGATCAGGAATTCAAGACCAGCCTGGCTAACATGGTGAAACCCCGTCCCTACTAAAAATAAAAAATTAGCCAGGCATGGTAGTGCGTGCCTGTAGTCCCAGCTATGCGAGAGGCTGAGGCAGGAGAATCACTTGAACCAGGGAGGTGGAGGTTGCAATGAGCCAAGATTGTACCACTGCACTCCAGCCTGGGTGACAGAGTGAGACTGTGTCTCAAAAAAGATTACAATTAGAATTAAAAATATAATTACCATATGATTCACTAATTCCACTTCTAGGTATAACCCAAAATAGTTGAAACCAGGGACTCAAAGAGGTATCTGTATACCCACATTCTTAGCAGCATTATTCACATTAACCAAAAGGCAGATGCAAACCACTGTCCATCCATGTTTGAAAGGATAAACAGAATGTAGTCTATACAGACAATGGAATATTCTCTGGCTTTAGGAAGGAAGGAAATTCTGACACATGCTACAACTTGAATGAACCTTGAGGACATCATGCTAAGTGCTATGCATTTGCAGAAGCACAAATACTGTATGAATCCACGTATGTGAAGGATCTAGGGTCGTGAAATTCAGACAGAAAGTAGAATGGTGGTTGCTAGGAGTGAGTGTGAAGAAGTAGGAATTATTGTTTAATTGGTGTACTTTTACTTTTGCTAGATGCAAAGATTTCAGTGGATGGACACCACCACAAAAATGTGAATACATTTAATGCCACTGAACTGTACACTTAAAAATGATGAAGTTGGTAAATTTCATGTTACTTGCATTTCAGCACAATTTAAAAAGCAAGAATGGAATTGATTTCCTTTTCTTCCAGCAAAACTGCTCCCTTTCTTGGGTTCTCCATTTCTGTAGGCGGCACCATTTTATTACCAGCTGTCTAAGCCAGAAACCTGGCCTCATGCTTCATATTGCCTTCTTCCTCTCTCAACCAACATAGTCATTCAACAAACACACATGTGCTGGTGCTTCTCCTTCCAGAGTACCTTGAGCCCATCCTGAGCACCACATCTCTGTTTCAGGGCACCTTCACAGCTCACCTAGATAACTACAGCAACCGCCCTATTGGTCTTCTGTGTCTGGTCCTGAACACTTCTAATCTCTTCTCCACTTTGCAACAGGAGTTCACTTTCTTTAAAAAGTGAAAATCTGTGAGGTTTCCTCCCTTCTCTGAGTAACTTTGATGGCTCTTTGTTGGCATTAAAATAAAGTCCAAAGTCCTTAACTGCGCTTATAATGTCAATGAGCACTGGACTCCTCACTGTGTCTGCAGCCTGAGCGCTCAGTGTTCTGTGACATTCTGGTCATTAGCCGTTCTGAAGGCTTTTAGTTCTGGAACTTACCATGTTGTCCCTCCTCTGGCCTTTATACACATTGTTCCTTAGAGAATGACTTCTCCTGCTCCATCCCAGCTGAACCTTCTTTGACCAGTCAGTTTCTCTTACTTACTCTAGGTCCTAGCTCACTGATTCCAGAAAGATTTATCTGATCCAGGTCTGTGCTTGGAGCCTTCCTGGGTGATCCTGTGTTTCCATCGTTAATCACTTTGAGCACTGCGTTGTGATTGCCTGTTTACTTTTCTGTTCTGGGTGAGACTTCCCTGTTCTGGGTGAGGACTTAATAATAAATCATGAGCAAATGAATTTATACATTGTTCTGGAAAGTTTGTAATTCACTCAAAAATCACAGGAGTAGGTCATTGCAATGCCAATAGTGGAATTCCAGTACCAGCAACTCTGTTCAGTGTACTTTTCGGTACTATGGCATATAATGGATCATCAAACTGACCACCTCAAAATGAGTTAGAACAGACTTAGAATGACCCAGCCACATTTGATACATATAATACTCTTCAGAGAGACGTGGAGATATGCAAACATTTTAGGATTGACATTGTCCATGTCTTAGCATTTTACTTCTCTTTGGGTTTCAATTAGCTACAAAGGACTGGGATAGAAGGAAAATAGAACTGACCAGCTATGATAATGTATAAGTTCCATTTGACAGAATACTGGAGAAACTGTCTTTTGCCAATATTAAAAAACTTTGGTTTCACAAGCAGTCTCTCAAATAGGAATTTATAATGTAACTCATGAGGCCCCTCTATATACACTACATATTGGATAGTGAAATCCTGCTTACTGCATTAAAGCTTTGTCTTGAAGACATCCAGTATGTGCTGAAAAGGAAGTGTTTCCCATAGTATATACACAGATAGACAGGTAGATAGATATGCAGAGGTGAGTATATGTGTTTAGAATATAAATCACTTAAAATAGTCAATGCTGTCATCATTTAAAACAGTAGTGGTACAGAAGGGGAAAAATAAAATCACATCTTTTATTAAATAAGACTCCAAATATACATAAATTAAAACTATCATTTCATCTTCTATGCTTGTTATATAATTAATCTCTCATATTTTACAGATTTATGTCAACATAACTTGTCACTGAAATGCAAATTGTATTATGTATATAGGATGAGCATATTACTTTTCACAGCTATGTAACATGGTACTACTAGACTCCAGCTGAAACTTAAAAATTACTTTATAGATATTATTGTGAATGTGGATTTCTTCAAACAATGCTTTCGGGTTCACAGACAATGCATGCATTCTATACAATTTCAAATTCAAGCAAAATGAAGGCTTAGAACTTAATATAGAAATGAATTGTTTTTTAAAAAAACAGGATGATAATGAAATCATATTGCATTCTTCATATCCTTGACAAAGCTCTACTTTAACTCATTGGAAGTGAGATGAATTTGGCCTTAAGTAGTAAATATAGCACTATTCTCAATTTTTTTTTTTTTTTTTTTGAGATAAAATTTTCCTCTTATTCCCCAGGCTGGAGTGCAGTTGTGCAATCTCGGCTGACTACAACCTCTGCCTCCCAGGTTCAAATGATTCTTCTGCCTCAGCCTCCCAAGTAGCTGGGACTACAGGCATGCGCCACCACACTTGGCTGATTTTGGATTTTTAGTAGAGAGGAAGTTTCACCATGTTGGTCAGGCTGGTCTCGAACACCCGACCTCAGGTAATGCACCTGCCTTGGCCTCCCAAAGTGCTGGGATTACAGGTGTGAGCCACTGCACCCAGCCTTAAATTGTTTTTTAAAAAGCAGACAAATACGCTAGTGTTTGTTAGTACTAATCAAAATTAAGACTACAAGAGGAATTACATGTGCTTAGTTTATATAAAATAAAACATTTTGGGGTATGGTGGCTTATGCCTGTGACTCAGTCAAGGTGGACAGATTGCTTGAGCCCAGGAGTTCTAGACTAGCTTGGGCAACATAGCAAAACCCTGTCTCTACATAAAAATACAAAAATTAGCCAGGCATGGTGGTGCATGCCTGTAGTCTCAGCTACCAGGAAGGCTGAGGTGGAAGTATCACTTGAGCTGGAGAGGTTGAGGCTGCAGTGAGCTGTGATCATGGCACTGCACTCCAGCCTGAGAGACAGAGTGAGACCTGGTCTCCAAATAAATAAAGTAAAGTACAATAAGACATACGATCATAAGCTGCTTTAGTAATGGCTTTGGCTGCATTCTTCTGAATATCAGGAATTGTAGAGTTTTCTGCAAATGACAGGAGTTTTTTAAGACCCCCTGTCTGCTGAATCTGCACTATAGTATCCATGTCTTCGAGGCAGTTGGCTATCACTGCAAGTGCCTCTATATGAAGGTCAATCAATTCCTAATAATGAAAGCAAATGCAACTTTAGAATGTTGTACTAAAAGAAATGTACACTTCCCATATTTGACTACAAGAGGAAATGAAGTCAGTCAGAACACAATGTAATTAATTCTGTTGAGACAGAGGCCCCAGAGAACAGGAGTTCTGCTTATCAAAGTAACATCACCCTTCCTGGCTATGTGCCCTGTCTTTTCTCCTTTCCCTTAATCCAAAATGTTTTATGGATAAAATGTAATGCTAGGAAGAGAACTTCCAAAAATGGTAGTCAGTGAAGTTGCGCATATAGTCTTCCACCAAAAACTTTTGAAATCTGGAGTAAACATTTTTTGAAAAAGCAAGACCGAAACTGATGAAAATAGATACTTTAAAATAATTTGTGACTGTAAGAGGGAAATGTTGTAAGTGTGTGGCTATCTTGCCTGAGGAAATCGGCTGAATCCCCAAAGCTATGGCAAACTTCAGCCTTAACTAAATAGTTAGAAATGTAAAGGGGGGAAATCCCAAAACTGAGAAATGCTCAGAAAGGATAATCCATCATGAATGGAAGGAACTCACTTCACAGCAAATACATTGTGGCCAGTGTTCATGGAATTCACTGGTTTGACCATGTTCCCACCATCCTTAAGCAGCTGGCTTGATAGAATGACCTTTTAAAGACTAGTTACAGCACCAGCTAGGTGGCAGGACCTTGCAGGGCTGGAGCAAGGTTCTCCAGAATGCTGTATATGCTCTGAATCAGTGTCTACCATATGGTGCCATTTCTTCTATAGCCTGGACTTGTGGGTCCAGGAAGGGTAAACATCACCCAAGGTTGCTGCATCCTCTTCTGGGGTAAGCACTGGGAAATATTTGGTTGTATATGGGATAGTTGTATCATGTTAGGTGAAAGTATGATCTCATCATTGTCTTAATTCGAAGATCAATGTGATTTAAGATGTATATTGGTGCCAATTTGACAAGGAGAGAACTTGATAATGAATTTTTGTCAGGCCACAGTACCCAGATATTTGGTCAAATATTCTAGTTTCTGTGAAAGTGTTTTTTCATGAGATTAATATTTAACTGTAGACTTTGAGTAAAGTAGATTACCCTCCATGATGTGAGTGGCCTCACCTAATCATTTGTAGGTCTTAATAGAAAAGGATTGATCTACCTGGCCACAGAGGGAATCCTGCCAGCAGACCACCCCTGGACTCAAACTATACACTTTTCTGAGTCTTTAGCCTACTTGCCTAACCTGTAGATTTTGGACTTGCCAAGCCTCCAAAAGTACGTGAGTCAATTCTTTAAAACAACTACCCACCCACCCCTCCTCCAACACAAACCCATTGGTATGGTTTGGCTCTGTATCCCCACCCAAATCTCATCTCAAATTGTGATCCCCAGGGCAAATTAAGTAACATAATCCCCATGTGTCAATGGGAGGGACCTGATGGGAGGCGACTGAATCATCAGGGCAGTTCCTTCATGCTGTTCTCATGACAGTGTGTTCTCAAGAGATTAAAGTAGGGGCACTGGATCTGAAATCTGTTTATTACTATTTCAATAAAGAATTAGTGGCAAAAGACACTGGACATGTTTGGAAGCTATCTGAATCTCTCAAGTCAATTAAATGGCATTCAATAAACTGCTAGATGAGGTTTTATAATCAGGAGATCCTAGAAGGCACAAGTATTCTTAAAGTTTAATTAATTCCTAAGGAGCTTACTAGCAACCATGAGCATTTAGCTCCAATATTATCAAAATGTATGTGTATGGGAGGAAAATTATGCTTCTTGCTTTATCCTAGAGAAAACCATAATGCAGGTTAAAAGACTCACCCCAGGTGTTTCAGGAAATCAAGAGGAAGATCATAGACAAGAATTTAAGCATCTTAAGTGTGCTAAACCAGAAGACTTTTAAAATCAGTTCCAATGGGCCTCTACAATTAGCCTGATTTAAGCAAGCCAATAAACTTTCTGTAGCAATAAGCAAATTAATCCATTACACCTAATACATGTTAAATAGAATAAAATTTCATTTTTGAACATTTGGGAGAGATACATTTCCTAATAGAAAGGCAGATGAATGAAATTAAATACCTTAGTTTCTAGGATCTTAATAAGATGGTCCAAGCCTTGATGGTCTCTTAGCATTGTTCGAGACTCTTTGTCATTTGTAATAACACCTAAGGTTTTGAGAGCCAACAACTGAATAACTGGATATTCTGACTTCAAGAGATCTAAGATAGGAGGTATTGCATTTAGTTCTTGAAGTGTAGTTCGACACTGAAAATCCTGCCACAAAATACAAATGATCAAAAAAATAAAATTTTAAGCAAAATACATTCTTAAGAACAGGGAAATTCCGTTTTCTAACAAAAGAGCATAAGTTATAATATTGTCATCTTTTATTCCAAATTCCCTTCCAAAATAACTCAAAAATGAGAAATCTTTAAATTGGCATCACCAAAATGTTTAACTGTAATATGTACACATTATTTACAACAGAAAATAAACATCTATGACTTTTGTAGTATCTATTATTATGCAGCAAATTTCGATTAAACAGCATTATAAAATCTATGCATAATGAAATTCTTTTCACACTTGGATATACTTCTTTAAATAGTAATAAAATGAAATTATGGCATTGATTTCTTATCTCATTCAAATGGACTGTTTATGAAATACCAATTAGCATGCAGTACTGTTGACAAGCTCTTTGCATACAAATTTACAGCAGCTTTATTCAGATACACGACCTTTTTCAAAAACATTTACACAATCAAGGGGTCATTATAATCTAGACAGTTGTTGTGCCTATATGTCTATGATTTTGGTGAGTGAAAAAGTGGGTGGTTATGAAAACAAGCCATGAAGCCATGGAAAGCTCCCAAACTCTGTTAAGACATGACACCTTTAATCAAAACATGATAAATATAAAATGGAACTAAAGGTGGAAAAGGCTCCAATTAAAGCTTAGCTTTCTCCTGTCCATCCTTTTATTGATCTTTAATATGGAGCTTCCTTTAGACACAAAATTGTAAGCTGCTTTTTGTCATGGGTTGAATTGTGTCCCCCCAAAATATATGTTGAAGCCCTAACCCCAGTACTTGTTAATGTGATCTTTATGAAAACAGGGTCACTGAAGATGTAATTGGTTATGATGAGGTCATTCTGGAGTAAAGTGGGCCCTTAGTAGTATCCTTGTACAATTGATGTCCTTAGGAGAAAAAAATGACAGAGGGAGAGCTTACTGGGATGCAGCCATAAGCCAAGGGACTTATTCCATCCTTTGATGGATGGCCACCACCCAAAGCTGGGAAGAGGAAAGAAAGCATTTGATCTGGTCTCGGTGGGGGCATGGCCCTGCCGACACCTTGATTTTGGACTTCTGGTCTCCAGAACTGTGACTGTCTCTAGTATGAAGCCACCTAGTTTGTAGTTCTTTGTTACAGCAGCTCTAGGAAACTAATACACAGTTTTTAGCCGGTACTGCTGTTAAGAATTGTGGAGATGATGATTTTCATTTCTGCTTGATTAAAACAATAGGGAAATATAGCTCTAAGGAGTCTTGGGATTTAAAACACAAACACACTTAGAGAAATACTTCATCAAAGGAGGTAAAGCCCACGTGACTGGAGAAGGGAAAAAAGGGGCTAAACTTCCTGTTTAGGGTGCCTTTTAGGGAGGGAGGAGTGAGGGTGAAACCAGTGAGTAGCAAAAACATGCTGGGTCAGGAATTTTGCTTTTGCTGCCTTTTGATATGAGCCCATTTGTCTCTCTCTGCCTGGATATGTTGCCTCTCCATTAATCCTCCTCTTCACTCTCATTTTGGTATTTCCTACTCTCTTAATGGCCATTTAAAATTTGTGTCTTTCCATTTTCAGCTGATGTAAAGCTAATCACATGTGCGTGCTAATTGTTAAGGAATCTAAGCAGTAGAGAAGGCTGTTCAAAGTGTCAGGAAGCTGACCTGTGTGCATGAGGGTGTGTGTGTGTTCTGTGTTCCCGAGTGGGGGTGCAAAGGACAGGACTGAAGGGAAGGGGAAGGATGGCAGTTTCTTTCCATTAAAAAGGAAAGCATCACAGTGAGGTAGCATCTATCTTGCTATTGTGGATAATGAATTCTATTCTGCATACTCAAATTATTAGATTTTTGGCAACAAGTAAGACTAAATCAACATCTCAGTACATTGTGTAGGGTACATATTAACATCCAATATGCTTAGAGCACCAGGGTTCAATCAATAGTAACTGCCCGGGTTCCCCATATTAGATTTCCTGTTTCAGAAGAAGTACATTTTATTTGCATGCCATTCTATTCTTTAAAAATAGAAATATATTTCCAAATACTTCTTCATGGGAGACAAATACTTAACAAACGTGAAAACTGAAAGATATCTACATCGCTTCCGTTATTTTTTCTCTGAATAATAAATACTAACCAGTAACAAGAATATCTAATGATGCATAACTGGTGAGTTTTTTTAAAAAGCGTTTTTTCTCTTTTTAATGGGAAAATCTAAAATTGGCTTTCATGAGAATACTTCTTAGAAATTAATCTTACCTGCACCAAGTTGTAAATGCATTCCATGGAATTCTTCTTTACATCTGGGTCTGGGCTACTCAGTAGTCTGATGAGCGGCTCTAATCCCCCATGTTCAAATATTTGCACTTTCCCGGTGTACTCTGCTGACATGTTTGCTAGACAAAGACTAGCAAACTCATGGATAACTACTTCTTCTGTGTATCAAAAATAAATAATACAAGTATGCCAACTGCTTATTATGCAACCACTACCTTAAAATACGCCTTGGAAACCAAAGCTCCACAAATTGTATCTTGCTTACAGCTCACCCTTTTTACAAACTCAAAATTGACCTGTGGTTTGAGAGATTTCAATAACAATATTTCATGAATGATTTTCAATATATAGTTTAATCAAGTGTAAAAAAAATTCTATTTTTAAAAACAGACATAGAATGCAAAGTTACCTTCTGGAGCAAGCTGAGCAATGACAGAATTCATGACGTCTAACTCCCTTAACAATTTTTTAACATCATCTGCAAAGGAAGAAACAGAATATTGATGTTTATTATTAATACTAATAGACTGGGTGCAGTGACTTACGCCTTGTAATCCCAGCATTTTGGGAGGCCAAGGCAGGTGAATCACTTGAGGTCAGGAGTTGGAGACCAGCCTGGTCAACATGGCAACTCTACTAAAAATACAAAAATTCGCCATGTGTGGTGGCTTGCACCTGTAATCCCATCTACTTAGGAAGCTGAGGCAGGAGAATCCCTTGAAGCTGGGAAGTAGAGGTTGCAATGAGCCAAGATCATGCCACTGCACTCCAGCCTGGGCAACAGAGTGAGATCCTGTCTCAAAATAATAATAACTATAATGGCAATATCTACTGAACAGTCCCTTATGAGACAGGTAAGATGATCTGATTTTACAGATAAGGAAATTGAGGCTCCAAACCTCACAGCAAGTGGTGGGGCAGGTTTCATGCTCAAGTGGGGCTAACCGCACACATTCTCTAGCCTGCTTGTACTCCTCAATCATGAGCTGTACTTCCTTCTAAGACACTAGAAACAATAACCATGAAAGTGCAGAATGTGCCTGGAATGCACATCCAAAGAGTTGAGTCGCTGTGCCCTACATTTATTTATTATATATTAGTAATCTTTTTAGGTGTGTTGCTGGGAGGGTATTTTTAAATTTTGACTTTAATCTTGTACAGAGTGCAAATAAGAATTACCCAACCTATTTCAATTAATACATCTTGGTTTCTTACATCCAATTTGATTATTAGAAATGTCAAAAATGCTTAAAAGTAAGTATATTGACTTTCATAAAGTACATTTTTATACTATTTTTTGTCAGCCTAATTAAAGCTAGACAGATGTGCCTACGTGCTGTGCTCTAACCTCATAAGAGGTATTACAAAGTTTGTGTGTGTGTGTTTTCGTTTGGAGACAGGGTTTTGCTGTCACTCAGGCTGGAGTGCAGTGGTGTGATCACGGCTCCCTGCAGACTCAGTCTCCTGGGCTCAAGCAATCCTCCCACCTCAGCCTCCCAAAGCGCTGGAATTACAGGCATGAGCCACCATGCCTGGCCACAAAATATTTTTGTTTCTCAAATTCCATGGTCTGTAAACAGAATAAAACATAAGAAATCAAAACCCTTCCATTTTTTTGTTACAATTTTCCTTTTTTTGTTTTTGGTTAAGCATTCAATATGACACTAATATAGCATTATTACACAGGTAATCCTTGTGATAAATTTAGGAAGGTCCATAATTCAGTTGAGTACTGCCTTATTTCCCTTCTCTATGCCTCTGTTGCCTCAGATGTAAAGGAAATAATAGTACCTACCTCACAAGGCTGTTAGGATTAAATGATTTAATATATCAATAGCACTTAGTATAGTGCCTGACCCCTTGTCAGTGCTTTGTGTTAACTAGTATTGTTAGCATAGTCTAAGCTGGTGGGACATGCACTCCACCTTGACTGTCCTCATTCTGCTGCCATCTCTGGAAACACTCCCAGGCCTCTGCCTTAGGCACAGCCACCATCAGAGCTTGAAAAGTCACATCCTTCCACTAAGGATGCACAGAGCCCCAACAGCTTCTGTTACCGCAGCTACCGGCAAACACAGTCTCTGTAGCTGAGGTTGTAATGGCACAGATGCCACACAGAACCGCCCTTCCACTTCTCTTCCCAACTTCCACTCATAACTGTCCCTGAACATACTCACACCACAGTCCCTGCTGGACGTGGAATAAGGCCTCACTGTCATTATACCAGATCCAGGGAAAAGAGGGTGCAGCGTAGGCAGGAAGACTAGGAAAGAATCCGTGCTTGTGTTTTGCTGAGGTTATCTTAAGAGGGTGAAAGTATGGTTTTAGCCATGTGCCATTGATAGGCACGTGTTTATTCATAGCAGCCTAAGTTTCATATTAGAATCCAGTCTCTACTAAGAGTGTCATTTAAAATTTATTATGAGTTAGGCTGGACACAGGGGCTCACGCCTGTAATCCCAGCAGTATGGGAGGCCAAGGTGGATGGATCACGAGGTCAGGAGTTCGAGATCAGCCTGGCCAACATGGTGAAACCTTGTCTCCACTAATAAAATACAAAAATTAGCCAGGCATGGTGGTGTGTGCCTGTAATCCCAGCTACTCGGGAAGCTGAGGCAGGAGAATTGCTTGGATATGGGAGGCAGAAATTGCAGTGAGCTGAGATTGTACCACTGCATTCCAGCCTGGGCAACAGAGCAAGACTCTGTCCCAAAAAAAAAAAAAAAAAAAAAAAAAAAACTATAAGTTACAGGGTTTTGGTGGATGACTTAAAAACCACCATTAGAAAATGACAAGGAAAATATACCCTGTTAATAAGTCAGAGACTGCCTTTATTGGCATGGTTTTAGTCAAACTGATATTCTAATGGACATAATATCATCTTTTAACTAATATTATACAATCACATTATTATATTAATATGTTCTTTAGTATTATATATTATATATTAATATAATTATACAATATTATGATATAACATAATTGATATTAATCACAGTAATGTTAATTATGTACATATATGATTAATATTACATGTTACATACTATATATTAATATAATATTAATTATGTGACATAATATTCCAAGCAATAGGACTGATTTAAGAAGTAAATGCACTTAAAAAAAATTTTTTTTTTGAGGCACCGTCTCACTCTGTCGTCCAGGCTGGAGTGCAGTGGTGCGATCCCAGCTCACTGCAACCTCCACCTTCGAGGTTCAAGTGATTCTCCTGCCTCAGCCTCCTGAGTAGCTGGGATTACAGCCACCCACCACTATGCCTGGCTAATTTTTGTATTTTCAGTAGAGATGGGGTTTCACCATGATGGCCAGGCAGGTCTGAAATTCCTGACCTCAGGCGATCCACCTACCTTGGTAAATGCACATTTAAATTTATCTTTTGCAAAATAGAGTTTGCAGTTCCAAATCAGTTTATCAAAGCTCTTTAGGTTTTGTTCACTATGAAATACATATGAAATGTAACATACATTATAGGCAGGCAAATTACATCACACTAACTCAAGAAAAACTGCTTTTCATTTTAAGAGAAAATGATTGCTTTCTCAGCTTGTAGGACGACATCACCAACTCAGAGGAGTTTTTGCATGGATGTGCTTGCATATATTTTCCTGTTTTAAAATTATCCCTTAAAATGTGAAATCACACATTTGCTGCATTATACTGATGTCATGTTTTTGTGAACATTAAAGTCAGTTTAAAACTGAAACAAATTCTTCAATGTTAAATTTAAAGGAATGATAATGCATTACATGGGATTATTTGATTATTTTTAAAAGTTGATACTTACTATTAGAAGCCAGGATTCCAAATATCATAGTAGCATTTCTTCTTACAATTTTGTCTTCATGGGTGAGCAGTTTAGTTAAAGGTTCCACAGCTCCAAGTTCAAGAAGGGTTGTTTTATTTTCCTCACCTGGCATCACATGTAAAACAAAAACCACACATGGATGTCATCGATTTCATCAGCATTCTGCCCCGTGCCATTCCAATTTCTTATTTGCCATTTACCTTTCACATTACTCTTGGCTTCCACTGGTAGAGCACAGGCATCCCGGACACTTCCTCCTCTCCCTTCCCCTGTTTACAAAGCTGGCTTCATCTTATCTTCAGTTCTGAGCTCACACTGCACCTTTTTGGAGCAGTCCCCCGCAATCACCCTGTCTACTGCTGTTACCGCATCCAAGTGCTTTTTACCTCTCTTTATCCTGCTGTATTTTTGTCATATCACTTGACAGCATCTGTGTTTTGCTTGCCTATGCCTTGATAACTCTCCATGATGACAGATACCCTTTCTGCCCTATTCTCTCCTACCCTTGGTGCCTAGCACAATGCCAGTCATGTAACAGGCACTCAATAAATACCTCCTTGAGTAATTAATTAGCTCTAGCCCCTTTTTGTAGATTGGATAGAATTGTCTATAGATGTCATCACATTAATTTTATGTGCCAAAGTGACTGAGCTAAGGGATGCACAGATAGCTACTAAAATATTATTTCTGGGTGTGTCTGCAAGGGTGTTTCTGGAAGAGATTAACATTTGAATCTTTCAACTGAGTGAAGATGTGCGCTCACCAATGTGAGTGGGCAATATCCAATCTGCTGAGGGCTTGAGTAGAACAGAAAGATGTAAAAAGGAAAAATCTTCTCTTTTTACGGCTGGGACCCCTAACTTTTCTTGCCCTGAGACATTAGAGCTCCTGTTCTCAGGCCTTTGGACTCTAGGACTTTACAGTAGCTTTGGCTCTCTGGCCTTAGGACAAGACTGAATTACATCCCCGGCTTTCCTTGTTCTCCTGCTTGCACATGGCTTTACTGTGGGATTTCTCAGCCTCCACAATCATGTGAGCCAGTTCCCATTACAAATGTTTTCATATATATCTACATATGTTTTATTGGTTCTCTTTCTTTAGGGAATCCTGAGTAATACAATGCAAAAGATTACTGTAATAATAGAGAAAACTGAAATGGAGGAGGAGTGTTTATGGGAACTCTACTTCTCATTTTTCTTTCTTTTTTTTTTTTTTTTTTTTTTTTTTTTTCAGACAGAGTCTTACTCTGTCACCCAGGCTGGAGTGCAGTGGCATGATCATAGCTCTCTACAGTCTCGACCTCCTGGGCTCAAGTGATTCTCTCACCTCAGTCTCCTGAGTAGCTGAGACTACAGGCAAATGCTACCACATCCAGCTAATTTTTTTTTTCAAGTTTTTGTAGAGATAGGGTCTCAGAATGTTTCCCAGGCTGGTCTCAAACTCACAGATTCAAGTGATCCTCCTGTCTGGGCCTCACAAATTACTGGGATTACAGGCTCTACAAGCAACTATGCCTGCCCTCATTTTTCTATAAACCTAAAACTGCTTACAGAAAAAAAGTCTAGATTTTTTTAAAAAGATATTCTACAAATTGTGAGAAAAATTCTGCAAATACATATCTAATCCAGAAGTAAAGGATGTGTACCCAGAATATATAAAGAATTTCTAAAACCAAATAAGAAAACAACCAAATTTTAAAATATATATGAACAAATTATTTGAACAGATACTTCACCAAAGAGGATGGATGATGATGATAAAGTATGTTTTTCTCTACATCATTAGTCATTAGGAAAATGCACATTAAAACCACAGTGAGATACCGTTTCACACCACAAGGATTACTGTCATCAAAAAGATGAACAGCAAATGCCAGCTAGTGTAGGGAGAAATTGGAACCCTCAGACATTGCTGGTGAGAATATAAAACAGTACGAATCACTTTGGAAAATGGTTTGGCAATTTCTTTAAAAGTTGATGTACCCCTACCATATGACCCTGGCAAACTGTGGTAAATCCACATAATGGAATAGTACTCAGCAACAAAAACAAATACTATGATATGAATTAATCTCAAAATAATTAGGGTGAGTGAACAGAGCCAGATTATGTCATCTTGTATAAATCAAACAGATAGTTCTACCTCTTTTTCTAATCTATGAGAAAGTTTTTAACTACAAATATTCTGGATGTCTTTTATTTCTTTTTCTTGCCTGATTGCACTGGCTAGAACCTCCCATACAATGTTGAATAAAGATGATGATAGCAGACATCCTTCTTTTGTTCCTGATCTTAAGTGGAAAGCATTTAGTTTTTTTTTGTTTTGTTTTGTTTTGTTTTTTACCATTAAGTGTGATGTAAGCCATAGGCTTTTTTTGTAGATACCTTTTATTAGGTAGAGAAAGTTTATATCTATTCCTACTTTGCATGCATATTTTATCAGGAGTGGATGTTGGATTTTGCCAAAAAGATGGTTTTGCATGTATGAAGATGATCGTATGGTTTTTCTTTTTAAAAGATTTATAATTTTTTCTGATTGCTGCTATAATAAATAACAAATCTAGTGGTTTGTCAACAACACAAATTTATTATCTTATGATTTGGAAGTCAGAAGTCGGATACATATCTCAGTAGGTGAAATGCAAAGTGTTGGCAGGGCTTCCTATGCTCTTCGGGAGCTAAGCTCTATGGCAGAATCCATTTCCTTTTCTTTTCCACATAGCATTCCTTGGAGAGTGAACCCCTTTCATCTTCAAAGCCAAAAATCACACCCTTCTGACCTCTGTGTCCACCATCATGTCTTCTCCAAATGTGACTCTCTTGCCTCCATCAGCATTTTTTTCCCTTGTCATGTAACATACTATTTTCACAGCTTCCAGGGATGTGATATTTTCTGATGTAGATATTTTGGGGTTCTTTTTCTATCTACCACACATCATAAAATACCTTGATTGACTTTCAGATGTTAAACCAACCTTGCAACTGGGAAATAAGAGTCATTTAGTCATGATGTGTTAGCTTTTTATTTTATTTTATTTTTTATTTTTATTTTTTTGAGATGGAGTTTCGCTCTTGTTACCCAGGCTGGAGTGCAATGGCGCGATCTCGGCTCACCGCAACCTCCACCTCCTGGGTTCAGGCAATTCTCCTGCCTCAGCCTCCTGAGTAGCTGGGATTACAGGCACGTGCCACCATGCCCAGCTAATTTTTTATACTTTTAGTAGAGACGGGGTTTCACCATATTGACCAAGATGGTCTCGATCTCTTGACCTCGTGATCCGCCCGCCTTGGCTTCCCAAAGTGCTGGGATTACAGGCGTGAGTCACCGCGCCCGGCCAGCTTTTTAAATATATTGTTGAATTTAATTTGCTAACATTTTGTTTAGAATTTTATATCTATGTTAATGAGGCATATTGACTTGCAGTTTGGTTTTTTTTTTTTGGCCTTTTTCTATCTTGGGTTTACAGTAATGGTGGCTTCACAGAATGAACTAAGAAGTATTCCACCCTTTTCAATTTTCTGAAAATATTTATATTTAATTGGTATTATTTCTTCCTTAAATGTTTGGCAGAATTCACCAGTAAAAGCATCTGGACTTGGAGTTTTATTTGTGAGAAAGTTTTTAACTTCCAATTTCAGTTTTTGTAATATAGAGCTATTCAAGCTCTTTTTTTGTTAAGTGAGCTTGGAAATTTAGGTCTTGAAATAAACTTGTTCACTTAGTCTAAGTTGTAGAATTTATTGGTATTAATTTATTCATAATATTCCTCTTATCCTGTTAATATCTGTAGGATCTCTAGTGATGTCCCCTCTCCCACTCCTGATAGTGATAATTTGTCTTTTCTCTCATTTTATTTATCAATCCATCTGGAGGTTAATCATTCTTATTGATCTCAAAAAAAAACAGCTTTTCATTTTTATGGCTCATCAATTTTTTCTGTTTTCTGTCTTGTTGATTTATACTGAGATATCTATTATATCCTTATTATTACTAACTTTTGGGTTACTTTGGTCGTCTTTTTCTAGTTTAAGATGGAAGCCAAGGTTACTGGTTTCAGAATTTTCTAGTTTTCCAGTATAGTTATTTAGCACAATAACCTTCTCTCTAAGCAGTTTTATATCATCCTTCACTGTGTTTAAATTTTCAATTCTGATTTTTGTTTTGATTTCTTATTTGATTCATGAGTCATTTAAGGGTATGTTATTTACTTTCTAACTACTTAACAATTATCCAGAGTCTTCTGCATTATTGATTTCTTATTTAATTCCACTGTGGTATGAGAATATATTTTGTGTTATTGGAATAGCTTAAAATTTATTGAGGCTTATTTTATGGCCCAGAATATGATCTATTTGGATAAATGTTCTGTATGTGCTTGAAAAAAGTTGTGTACTCTACTGCTCTTAAAGTGTGCTATAAATATTAATTAGGTTAAATACACTGATACTGATTGTCAAATCCTTTATATCCTTATACCTTTGCTGTCTACTTGTTCTCTCATTTGTTGAGAGGAGCATTGAAATCTTCAGCTTTAATTGTTGATGCCTATTTTTCCTTGCATGATTAGCTTCATGTATTTTAAATATCTTACATTCAGTACATGACTGTTTAAGATTTTTTAGTCTTTTCATTAACTGATCCCTTTATCATTATAAAATGACCTTCTTTATCTCTGGTACTATTCTCTGTTTACTTTTATAATTTTAATATTTCTGTTATTAACTCTTGGGCTTTCTTTCGGTTCATGCTAGCATGACATGTCTGTTGTCATCCTTTTAAGTTTCTTTGTCTTTTATATTCTAAGTGCACTTCTTGAAGGCAGCATGTAGTTAACTCTTGCTTTTATCCAACATACCAGTTTCTTCCTGTTAATCAAGGTATTTAGGACATTTATATTTAATTTTTGATATGATTAGATTAAATCTATCTTATTTGTTTATATGTCCCTTTATTCCCTGTTTGCATTTTTCTTCATATTCTGCCTTCTTTTCTATCTATTGAATATTATTATTCCATTTTATTTTTTCATTGGCTTATTTAATATTATCCTTTGTTTTGTTATCTTAGTGGTTGCATTAGGATTGCAGTATACATCTTTGACTTATCACAGTCTACTTTCAAGTGATATTATGCCACTTCACATATGAGATCCTAACAATATTATACGTCCATTTTTTTTACCTTTCTACCTTGGGGCTGTTGTTGCCATCTATTTCACTTATACATATGTTTCAGGCTGCACAATATATGATTATTTCTATTTAAAATAATAAATTTACTTTCGAAGTGTTTCAAATAGCAAGAAAAAACATATATGTTGCCATTTCTAGCTCTCTGTATTCTTTTTTTTGTAAATCTATATTTACATCTGGTGTTACTTCTTTCTGCCTGAAAGGTCTCTTTTTAATATAAGTAGTAGTATAAATCTGCTGGTAACAAATTATTGTAGCTTTTTTATATTTGAAAATAAAACTTTATTTCATCAGTGTCTTTGAAAGATTTTTTTCCTGGATATGTAGTTCTGGGTTGAAAGTTTTTATTTATCTTTCATTCTTTAAACACTTTTGCTCTACTGACTTCTCACTTGTATGATATCTGATGATAAATCATCCTTATTTATAATTTGTTATTATCTCTTGTCCTTTGCTTATTTGAATATAACATGTTTTTACTCATTCTGGCTGCTTTTAAGATTTTTTCTTTCTCTCTAGTTTTGAGCAATTTGATTATAATGTACTGTGGCATAGTTTACTTCATATTCTTTTCACTTGGGTTTTGACAAACTTTTTGGATTCATGGACTTAGAGTTTGCATTAGATTTAGGGAAATTTCAGCCATTATTTCTTCAAATGCTTTTTCTGTCCCTGTCACCCTTTTTCAGAAACTCCAATTACACCTATATTGGACACATGAACTTTTCTCATACCTTATTGGATTTCTGTTCATCTTTTTAAAATGTATTTTTCACTGTCCTTCATTTTGGATACTTTGTTACTGTCTCTTCAAGTTCATTAATCTTTTCTTCTGTGGTGTTTATAATCTGAATTTATCCAAGCCTATATATTTTTCATTTCAGATATTGAAGTTTTTATCTCTAGAAGTGGTATTTGGGTCGTCTTGTAGCTTTCTGTTTTTATTTTCTAAACATATAGAATATAGTTGTAATTTTTAAATGTCTTTTCCTGCTAATTTTAACATCTGGGTCAATTTTGATGTATTGGTTGTTTTATATCTTATGCATTTTTTCTGCTTTTCATGCCTGGTAATTTTTTTTTTTTTTTCTGGATGCAAGACATTTTCAATTTTACCTTGTTAGGCAATGGCTATTACTGTATTCTTGAGATTTTTTCAGGGACAAATTAAGTTACTTGGAAACAACTTGATCCTTTCAAGTCTTGCTTTTAATATTTACTAGGTGGTACTAGAAAAATGTACCATCTAGAACTAATTATTTTTCATACTGAGACAAGACTCCTCTGTGTATTCTACATAGTGCTTCATGAATTCTGAGATTTCAGTCCGGCTGATGGGAACAGGTACTATTACTAGCCCTATGTGAGCACCAGACACTATGACCCCAATTCTTTGGGTGCCTCTTTGTCTGACTGTTTCCCTCACATGTACATGCTGCTCACAACTTTCCTAAAGACAAGAATGGGATCCTTTACAGATCTCCTGAGTTCTCCTTCTGTGAAACTCATTCCTCTCCTTTACTCTGTCCCAAAAACTCTAAATGCTTTTATCTCCCTGGACCCTCAGATTTGTCTTCTTAACTCAGAGAGTCCACCAGGTTACCCTTTCAAGTGCTATGTCCAAAAAACTCTCTGAAGTCAAAAATCTGAGGCAATCATAGGGTTTACTTCCTTTGATTCCCATCTCTCAGTGGTCACTGCCCTTTATTATCTGATGTTGATGGTCTTGTCAACTGTTATTTCATATATCTGGTTTATTTTCTTCATTGTTTCTACCAACAGAGTAAGTGTACTCTACCTTCACATATCAGGTCTGTTTCATTCATTGTTTCAGGCAGTAGAGTGGTCCATCTTGGCCAGAAGCCAAAGTCCTATCTTTTTTAACTTTAGAAAATACTACTAGTATAAAACATCAGACTTACAATTATTTCTGTATTTATTTCATATGAAATACATGCCTATCTAATTCTTCCTGTCGTGCAAAAAGAGATTACACATAATCAGATACATGTGACAGCCAGATGATATATAATAACTCTATAAGATTGAATGGGATTCATGCTGCCATAGATACACAATCCAAAATCTCCCTGAAATTTGACCCAGGATTCTACACCAACCACTCAAAAAGGTACAGTCCCTTCCAGAACCACTCTGGTTTACATCTGGATTCCCAGTGATGACCTGAGTGACAAAGCAAGGCAAGTATTGTAACCTTGGCTAATTGGAGGATTGGTTGTTCTCTCATTCAAGCTCCAACACAATATTTCAAGTATTGTTTATTTAAAACAAAATTGTTCCCATCTTAGTTTGAAATGTTTTATTAAAAAAAAAAAAACAGTTACACTAAACTCCCAATTGGGGTATTTTGTACCTGAACCAGGATTTGTCTGATTTTAAGAATCAGTAGACTGGGGTTATGGATTTTTAAGGAAAATAACACAGAAATAAAGTGTCATTTTCATCACATCATATCAAAGGTACCTGTTGTCAATATGACTTACCACAGTTGATGGTTGTTTGTTTTTTGAGACAGGGTCTCATTCTGCTGCCCAGGCTGGAGTGCAGTGGCACAATCTCTGCTCATTGCAACCTCTGCCTCCCAGGGTCAAGCAGTCCTCACACCTCAGCCTCCCAAGTAGCTGGGACTGTGGGCATGTGCCATCACACCAGGCTAATGTTTTTATTTTTTGTAGAGGTGGGGTTTCACCATGTTGCCAAGGCTGGTCTTGAACTCCTGAGCTCGAGCGATCTCCCACCTTAGCCTCCTTAGAAGCTGGGACACAAGCATGTACCATCACAGATGGCTAGTTTTTGTATTTTTTTTTTTTTTTTTTTGGTAGAGATGATGCTTTGCCACATTCCCATGGCTGGTTTCAAACTCCTGAGATCAAGTGATCCACCCACCTTGGTCTTCCAAAGTGCTGAGATTACAGGCATTAGCCAACATGCCCAGATGGTTGATGTTGATTTTCATCACCTAGCTGAGGTATTGTTTGTAAGGTTTATCCCTTGCAAGATTATTTCCCCCCATTTCTATATTTACTCTTTGGAAATAAGTAACTCTGTACATCTCCCACTCAAACAGTGGGAAGTTATATTTCACCTCCTTGAAGTTAGAGTGTCTGCATAAACTGTTAGGAATTCTGCATGGGGATTTGTCTCTTCCCTTCCATTTATTTATTCATTCATTCGTTTATTTATATCAGTATGGACTCATGGATACTTATTTTCCACTTGGATTATAACCCAATACTATTTTACTATGTTGTTCTAATTGTCCCAGCCTTGACCATTGGGAGTTCTTTTAGCGTCTGTGACATTTACAATTTCTAAAACTACAATGAAACTTTCAGAATGATTGTTCTAGCCGATGACTAAATTACTCCTTAAGATTAAGCTAGGCACTCAGGGAGAGACACTGCTTTCAGTTAATGCATTAAATAATATTCTGGTTGTCTGAAATAATTCATCTGACAGCAAGTAAGTGAAAGACTAGGAAGAAAAGTGCCCATAATGTAGTAAATCTTTTTAAAAATTAATGAAATGGAAATATAAACAGAAAAAAATCCAAACCTTTTAAAGCAAATTTATAAATGGCTTCACATGCTTTAGCCAAAATGTCCTCTTCTGGAGAATGAAGCATTAACACCACAGTTGCTGCTTTCTTGCTTTCAATTATTAACGGATCAAACTGAAAGGCAGAAAGAAAACTATCAGGTTCACAAATGAGCTTTAAAAATCACATTAAAAATGAATGGGTCTTAAAACTGAAAGAGAACATAATCTTGCAAAAACGATGTGGTCACTGCCCAATAAGTGCACTGCAAAGTTTTTCATTTAAAAAAAAAAAACATCAACCGCTAGAGAAACAATTGTTAGCATTGGTGGCCTTGGAATTCCTGGGGTGTGGTGGGAAGAGCAACGTGTTTTGGAAGCTGACGGGTCTAGTTTCTCAATTTAGTCATGTGGAATCCAAATGACTTATGCTCCTTGAATGTCAATTTCTTTTTCTGTTTAAGATAATAGTACCTCTCTCAAAGGAGCGAGGAGAGGAGTAGGGGCGTGTATGGAAAGCACTTAGCACATCATCTGGCTCATGACAGATGTACATCAAATGACATGTCATCATGCTTACTCAATACACAAAGTCCTTGAGCACTGGTATATATTCGATTTTCTGACCATCTCAATAATCAATACTTGCTTTCTAACCACTAGACTCTAGAAAAGCAGGAATTACATATGTGAAACCATAAGAAAGCAGTAGAAAACAGCATATGACATAATGTAAAATTGAATAAAATCTGGGACAGGGGAAATGATAATACAGTCTGAAGAAAAAGTATAGGACTCTAAGAAGACCTGTGTCCTGAGAATTCATGTGTAATTAAAATGAGCTATTGTTCATAAGACATAGAGGCTTTCCGTGGTTAAGGAGAAAACAAATTATTACACTATTTTTCTTCCATTTCCAGAGACTAATAGAGGATGGAGTTCTGCTTAGGATAAAGTAAAAGAACAAACAAAAAACCGGTATTTCAAAGCTTTAGCTGGTACTTTGTGTTGGCTTTCCTATATGGACATCTTACTAAGATATGGAATATTTTTAAGATCGTTTCATTTTACATAGAGAATGGAGAAATGCATTACTCTGATTACTCCAAGGATACATAATTTTGTAAGTTTGGAAGAGTAAAGAAGAAAGAAGATGGCGAGAAAAAAATGACCTGAAAGGACAGAGCCAGGATAAAACTTCCTCCTTGGAGGAGACATGGCTGTTAAATTTCAGAACAGCATCGTCTAACATCCAAAGTAAAGCCATTGTTTTTCTATGGCTCCCTCTAGACTAGAAGCTATAAGAGTTACAAAAGTCTTGTTTGTTCTTAAACCACTTACACTCTTTCAGAGAATACAAATCTTCAGTAAAAAGTCAATTGTGTACACCAGGTTTGTGGCTTTTGTATTTCTAGTGACATGATCCAGTGAGAAAAAGTGGCCTCTAGCTGAGCCAAGAGCAATGGTTGGGATGCTGGCTGCAACAGTGATCAGGAGCGCAGAAGGCCCTAGAAATTCACAGAACTTTTAAGGGAGGACTTCTGAATGTAGTTGGGGTTTGGGGCTTGAGAACCATCTTATTTAGATATTAAAGGGTAGCCCCAGAATGTCCGAGGACCTCACATCACCCAGGTGATACAGCTGACCATAGTTTTTTTAATCTAAAAAGTTAGGAAGCTGAATTACATAATCTCCTCCAGATAAAACATTTTAGGATTCTATGAAGTACAAAACACATGGCAGGGACAATAAACACTATGATGAGAATGGGGAAATGAATTTGAAACTGGGGTAGATAGAGAAAGCTCCATGGACATGGTAGAATTTAAGATAAGATTTGAAGAACAGATAAAATGGGACGGATGGCACTAAGAAGGAAGGATATGCAAATGGAGAAGACTACATAAGATGGTTTAAAATAGGAATAAATGTTTGTTTATTGTGCATAAAATACTAGCTTGACCAAATAGAAAATATACAAGAAGCAGCAGAAATTATATTAAATAATAAGAAAAAAAGACTTTAGCAAATGACCTATACCTTTCCTTCTCCTGTTTATTGAGGATAATCAACAAAGGTCCAAGGGAAAAGAATTGTGACTCTGGAAGTTTATATCTGGCTAGGTTATCATTTGATGTTTGGGCATTCACAAACTCAAAAAGTATATCAACCATATGATCTTAAATTGCTCAAGCAAAATCTCCAGCCAAACGTGGGGAGCACCAAAACATAAAAACAATTGTGGTGGATCAATAAATACCAAAAAAAGTATTTTGCTAAACAGCTTTCTAAATGTTGCAAATCATAATTTTTTTTTTTTTTTTTTTTGAGAAGGAATCTCACTCTATTACCCAATCTAGAGTGCAGTGGCATGATCTCAGCTCACTGCAACCTCCGCCTCCCCGGGTTCAAGTGATTCTCCCTGTCTCAGCCTCCCAAGTACCTGGGATTACAGGCACCCACCACCACACTAATTTTTGTATTTTTAGTAGAGACGGGTTTTTGCCATGTTGGCCAGGCTAGTTTCAAATTCCTGACCTTAGGTGATCCGCCCACCTCGGCCTCCCAAAGTGCTGGGATTACAGGCATGAACCACCTGGCCCAGCCAATGCAATTCTTAAGAAAGGATTCCTGAAGTGATAATGATTTGTAAGGAAAAAAAAAAAAGCAAACTAATAGTGGCTTGGAATTAAAACTGAGATTTTTCTTTTCAATGAAACAGGTAAAGGAAATTATTGGTTTAAAGAAAAGGAATGTTGCTTAGCTATTATTTATTTTTACATTAATAGAAAAAATGCAGGTTAAAATATGTGTATTTAATAGTTAGGCTACCAACAAGTACACAAACTTCCATATTGCCAGAAAGAATAACACAGGAAAATTGCTTAATTCAGAAAAGTGATGGAAAATACTAAAGAAATTACAAGATGAAAACATAGCAAAGAAAAACCAAAACTTCAAATAAAATAGGAATAAAATCAAATATGTCAGTGATCAAAATAAACATCAGTAGGGTAAATAAACCAATAAATTGGATTAAAAAGCAAAATCAACTTCCCCGTTGATGTTAGCGGGTATTTCTTCCACTTGGCCTTCCAGAATATTAATTCAGATCTCTCCAGCTAAGATACAGAACGTTTTTAGAATCTCTGAAGGTTTCCTCACACACCTTCCCTAAGCCACCCTGCCCCCATGAGATGTAATCATTATTCTGACTTTTAAAGTAATCACTTAAAGTTCCAGTTTTGAACTTCATACACATGGAATCATACAACATTCTTTCATGTTTAGTTTCTTTAGTTCAATGTAATATCTGTTGCAATTCTTTGAAAATTTTGCCTATATTACTAAGTCATATTTCGTATAGCTACGTAATACATTCCATTATGTAAATATACCAGTTTGGGTTCTTTTCTTTCCAGTTTGAGGAAATCATAATGCAAGCCACAATGAATATTCTTTTACATGTCTTCTTGTGGATATATACGTTCATTTCTCTTGATATGTATCTAGGAATATAATTGAGGAGTCATAGGGGAGACATGTATTTCCCTTTGATAGGTAGTTTTGAACAGTTTTTCAAAGTGGTTTTTATCAATTAACATTCCCTCCAGCTGTGAATGAGAGTTCCAGTTGCTCTACATCCTCACCAACACTTGTTATTATCAGTCTTTTAAATTTGCCTTTCCAAAACTTTTAAATCATATTTTTTAGTTCATCTGCTTTTCATAGTTATTGTAGGTGAAGAAATGCCTCCTGCTACATGCTACCACTATATCCTAGACAGAAGAGAAATGTTCTCATTACTTTTTCAAAGTTCTCTCCTGTCTCTTTTGCTAATTCTCATTCAGTAGCATCCATCTATCATTCAGCTTTGTCTTCTGCTATGATGCTTAAGAACCCATTAATTTTTCTCTGTCTCCCTACAGATGGGTTTCCTGCAGCACTCACAGGCTCTGAGGGGTTCTTGGTAGCCAACTAGCAAGTGGTGAAACATACAGATTGATTTTTTCAGCTACTCCCACTACAGATTCTTCAATTGCATTTGGATCCCCAGTCCCTCTCCTTCCTCTCCCTTTATCAGCTTTCTCCCTTCTTCCCCTTTTAAGTTGCTTTGATTAGATGTTCTATTATCTGAATAACACCTCTGCTAAACCCTAAACCTCCTCGTTTCTCTGTTTTTTTCATCAAATTAATCTTCCAAAACCCAAACCACACATGAACACTAGCATTTTCTTCTTTGCATTTGTACCCAAGTGACCAACCATTCTCAAAAAATGTTTAACTAGAGGAAAATTAGTATCACTGTAAATTCATGACCAGCAATTGAGAGGGCCTCACTGCAAACCGGGTTTCTACATTTCTCTTGTAAACTTGATTTTTCTCAAGCGAACAAAATGATTTCAAACATTTTTACTATCCTTGAACATTTAACCTTCTCACCTCCCTACTTTCTTTCCTCTTCACCCAGCAAATTTTTCAGAGAAAATAAGTTACTAGATGGAAACTCCATCAACTTTTAACTTGCAGATTGAAATCTGCCTATATCCGCACATGTTATTCTATTACATCTATTACCAAGGCCAATTCCTAATAGGTGCTTTGGCTTTTTAAATCATTGACCTTCATTCATTAATTCATTCATTTAATAAACATTTATCAAATCCATATTAAGTGCCAGACACTAAGAATAGCACATTAGATAACTCAGTCCCCTATTCTCACAGAATAGACACATTTTCATCTTACCATATATTATTAATTGTCCCTTTTGTTTCATGAGTAGTCAACTCCTCCCTGTCAACTAAACTCTTCCATTACTTCTTTTGAATCCAGCTTATAGAGGGCCAATTTAGATGTAATGCAATGTAGTTATTTCCAGTGTAAGTTAGATACATTCTGAGGAGTATATACATCTGTATAGAATTTTAAGAAACATATACGTCTGTATAACCGGCCACTCCAAACAATATGTGAAAGTTTCCATGCCCCAAAACATTCTCTCCTGCCTCTTTGCAGTTGATTCCCCTTTGTATGTCTGATCCCAGACAACCACTTATCTCCTTTCTTTCACTACAGATCAGTTTTGCCTGTCCTATAATTTAGCAGTAACAAAATTACTACATAGGGACCCTT